AAAAAGAGTGCTGAGTGAACCTTCATCAAAAGCCATTTTGTGACTAAGAAGGAGAAATAATACTCCACCACTGAGGTCTTGCATGAAGCAGTGCTGTTCCTGAGAGCCTGTCTACTCCAGCACGACAGCCACACTCCAGCTGCCTTTAATACCCAGAGGCTGCACAATGAGCTGTGCCACAGTAGCACAGACCAGTTGCTTGACCATATTCCCATGGTTTCTGGTGGATCTGATACTATTCGTTCTTCCTCACTCCTATTTAACCCCGAGTTAGCTACATCAAGGAGTGCTGCTGCAAACAGAACCCAGGAGTGATGCCATATGGGCCAACTGGCCAGCACCCCTTGCCAAGCAACCACAATCACAACACAAGCACTGTGGCTATTAAACGTTGTATTTCTAAGTATACATTGCCATAAATTTGGCCTGATGATAACATCAATTTAGGATGCAGTTTAGCTTGTCATCTGCATTTATCTGTAATCTCCCTCCATTAAATAATGTCAAATCCACCCCGGGGAATTCCTGAAGCTGAAGAGCACTTTATCTTGGGTCAGCGTGTCTAACGCAACAAGCATTTCACAAAGCAGCGAGAAGGTAAAAATCAGACTGTAAGCCAAATTTTCAAACTGACTTTCTTTTCAGAGAGAAGCCAGATGTGAGGACTTACAGGCAGAGCAGGATGCCCCGGTGTAGCCCGGGGGACAGTCGCAGGCTCCAGTTTCTCTGTTGCACTGGCCCCCGTTGGCACAGGGCTCACAGGAGGACTGGCAGTCTGGTCCCCACCGACCCGCTGGGCAATCTAGAAGAGAACAGCACATGAGATGCCAGACAGATGCAGGAGGGAAGGGCTACTGCTGTATTTTTGCTGGGCTGAGGGGGGACAATGATGGTCATACAGTCCAGAGGGACTGGACATGAGGTGGAGCCCAGGTCTTCATTCAGGTCTACCTTCTTGGCGAGGTTCCTGCCCCGTGAAGCAGTGAGCCACAATCTGGGTCCATGCAGGGCTGATGCTCCTCAGGTGTGCAACAGCCAGAGCACTGAAAATGGTTGAGGAGCATCTTGTGGCCCATTGGTAGTGCAGAGTTCTTTAGAGACTTTCTTCATCCCTTTACTTAATTACCCACAACAATCCTCCCCCTTTTAATTCCTTCACCAGGTCCTTCACTTGCTGGTTCCACAATAGCTGTCCTTGGCCAAGGCTCCTGGAGCACATTGTGGGCATATGGCAGCATGGTCCCAAGCTCTGCTCTGGGACTTGGACCTGCTGCAGTGCCCTGGTATTACTGCCCAACTTGTATAGACCCAGTCCAACATATAAATCACTATTAATAATTGAAGCAGAGAGACAAGACAGGGTAACTGAGTCACACTCTCTCCTTTACAGACAATCCCATGTGGTGGATGTCGAATGTTCTGCATCAAGACTCATCGATTACCTGTTCTGCACATGAAGCACACTGCATTACAGCAGTTTTGGTAAAAAACAGAGTAATTCCATTTCTTATTGTTTCTGTGAAAGCAAGATGCTCACTACTCCACACCAACACACCTTGCTCACATGTAGCACCAGCCTTCCCAGCTGGGCAAATGCACTGCCCCGTCTTTGGATCACACGGTGCTTCTCCACAGCTGCACCTCTGCCCGCAGTTCACCCCAAAGCTCCCGGGCTGACAAGCTGGTCAAAAGGAACCCAAAGACATGGTTAGTGGAAGGAAGCAGCTTGGGGATATTAGGAGACACCACCACCAGCACCTGAGCTGTGCTGGTACCAAGAGATCTATGTGTCATCAGTGCCTCAGCAAACAGCAGTCTGGAATTAATTGCAACAGAGCTCTAGAAAATCTGTGCTTGAAGCTTTAAAAGGAACTACATTTACCTGGACAAACGTTAATTTTAGTAACTGGCCTCAGCCTTGTGCCTCCACCTTTACAAACAGCAAAATACCAGTCTGGCTTCAGTGGGGAGCTGCCAACTCTCACCAACAACAAATGTACCTTTTTTATTGCAAATTTTGTATCTGAACATAAGTTTCCCGCGTAAGCTTTCCCAGCCAAACCGTACCTCCCAGGGTAAGAGGCAGGGAGTACCTACATAAATGGCATTCTTCTCCATGAAACCCAGGTGGACACGGATGCTGGCAGGCTCCCGTCTCACGGTTACACGACACATCAGGAGGACAGTTGCACCTCAGTTTGCAACCAGCCCCATAAAAGCCAGGCATGCACTCTGGAAAATGCAAGTAGATACAGAATATGTATCAGAAAAAAATGGAAGAGTTAAGAAAAACTGAACAAAAGTCAGAAAATAATTTGGCAGAAATTTGTAGAAAATCTATTTTAATGTACATTTTAGAGGTGCTGATAACAAAGTGTAAATACTTATTAAACACTTGCACGGACACTTCGAAGAGGTTACTGCTTAAATACAACCCAGAAAGAGAGTGGCAGAATACTTAAGGATATATTCAATTACAGCCATTACAGAATTACTCTCCTTATCTGTCCGTACCTTCTGCTGCTCTCTGCCTTGGTGCAAAGCCAGTGCTGGGCGAGGGATGCTCTCCCCCAGAACTGAGCATGTCACCAAGCACGCTCAAGATATTAAATATTGTCACTATTATTCTCCACTAAACCCCCCCAAGAACTCCTGTCACAAACCCGACACGTTCCTGCCTGCCCAGAGAGGAATCTGAAGGGAGAATCTTTATTGTGTTATTCCATTACTGTCTGGAGAGGGCTACTGAGACATGCAAACATGAATGTGGAATACAATTCTCTTTGAACTACCCCCCCAAAAACTACAAAGAATAAATTGAATTCAAAGACTGGCGAATCTGAAGGAAAAGTAGCATTACTGAAACTGTTCACAAGTAATCCTGCTGCCATAAAACACAGGTTTTGTCACTTATTTGCTGTCTGAGTGGAAAAGGGAAAGAAAAAGAGTGAAAACTCCCACAATCTTCATTATTTAGGGTTGTATTAGAATTTGGTCTCTAGGTTTCTGTTGTCATTTGATCAGGCTACAAGTCCTGCATTCTTTAAGCAGTATTCCCCTTGATGTCCCTCTCAGCCCTGTGATATCAGGCTCTTGTGGAGTGTGTTGTACGAAAAGCCACAGACAAAATAATTAGTAGAATATGAATATATTAGCAGTGGCCAAACAAAGTGAACGGAAGGAAGGATGAGAAATAACACTAGGACAAAGGAATGAGCAGACACAGGGAATCTGGCTTTCTATTATACCTTTCTGACACTTTTTGCCGTGGTAACCTGGCTTGCAGGTGCAAGTCCCGTTCCTGGCATTGCATTCCAGCGTGTGCTCCTTCACGCACTGACACTCCTCCGAGCAGCCGGCTCCGAAGGCCCACCTGGGACAGGCTGCAGCCAGATGAAAAGGAATCATTAGCTCTGTAATTATGCAGGAGTTATTTGAAATCGCAGGCTGCCGCAGAATGCAACTGCTGCAAAAAGCAAACGCGTTCATTTTGCTTTCAGCCAATACATCCACATGCCCGTGACAGCGCCTATTAACGTGTGGGTGTGTAAAATATAGTTTACATGATTCCTATATTAAGTAATTCATTTCATTTCAAGCCATATGTGATGAATGCAAGAACCAGAAAGCTTTCAAAGCAAACTTCGTTAAGTTTCTGAATGAAAAAATATTTGGATACGCTCCAAGACAAAAGCTTTCACCAAAAAAAATTTTAAAAAAATAATCACACAACTATTTTTCAATCTCGCACAGATTTTACAAACAAGACCTCTAAGTGCAAATAAACTTGACCATCTGCTTTGCAACATTTTTGTTTTGATTCTTTTTATTCCCATTTAACATTTTGCCCTCATCCTGCCCCAGCCCTGGTCCTCAGCTCCCACTCCAACCCTATCGGCAGCCACTTACTGGCTGCAACCAGACTTTAACTGCACCAAAACCCCTCATGTTAAACCTGCCCATCCCAACCCAGCCCTACCTATAGTCCTCCCCTTTGTGCACCAGTAAATCTCAGTCCTTATGGCAAAGATTAATTGCTAGAGGAAACGATTAATGAAGTTTCTGGGGCTTCCCGCCACGCGTCGCAAGTCATGTCCTCTCACTACTCCCAGATCATCGCAGAACCCGAAGTCGTGTTGATTTTATAAGCAACGTGAAACCTTTTTAACTGTTACGTTGTGCATATGTTAAATAAACAGATCAGAAAAAAATCCAGGGACTTACTGAGGTGGCAGAAGCGCCCGTAGAGCCCGGGGTCACACAGGCAGGCTCCGTACAGTCTGTGGCAATAGCCGTTGTTGGCGCAGTTGCATGGTTTGTTACAGTTCTTCCCAAAAAAACCCTTTGGGCAACCTTTTGGGTGGAAAAACACAACACAAATACCAGATCAGCTCTCTCAGGTGCTACAGAAAAGAGCACACTGACTTGCCACCAACCTGGGGCCCCGTGCAGTCCATCCTTACAAGGCACGTGCTTCTCTCACCCTTTATCCTGTCTATTATTAAAACAAAAGTCACTGCAAGGCAAGTCATAGGGATATAGTACATCTCACACAACAGAGCCTGTTCCTATTTGGGGCCCTAAGATTTACCACACACAATTACATCTAGATGGAATTATAGAATCATTTAGGTTGGAAGAGACCTTTAAGATCTCCAAGACCAACCATTAACCTAAAACTAAACCACTAACCACCACTAAACCATGTCCCACAGCACCATGTCTAGCCATCTTTAAATACCTCCAGGGATGGTGACTCAAGCACTTCCCTGGGCAGCCCATTCCAAAGCTTAATAATCCTTTCAGTGTAAACATTTTCCTAATATTCATCCTAAACCTCCCCTGGTGCAACTTGAGGCCATTTCCTCTTGTCCTATCAACCGTGACTTGGGGGAAGAGACCAACCCTCCCCAGCTACACCCTCCTTTCAGGGAGTTGTAGAGAGTGAGAAGGTCTCCCCTCAGCCTCCTCTTCTCCAGGCTGAACACCCCCAGCTCCCTCAGCCACTCCTCACAAGACTTGTTCTCCAGACCCCTCACCAGCTCTGTTGCCCTTCTCTGGACCTACTCCAACACCTCGATGTCTTTCTTGTAATGAGGGGCTCAAAACTGGACACAGCACTCGAGGTGGGGCCTCACCAGTTACCAGTACAGGGGGACAATCACTGCCCTAGTCCTGCTGGCCACACCGTTCCTGATACAGGCCAGGATGCTGTTGGGCTTCTTGGCCACCTGGGCACACTGCTGACTCATATTCAGTCGGCGGTCAACCAACAGCCCCAGGAGGTCCTTTTCCACCGGGCAGCTCTCCAGCCAACTCTTCCCCCAGCTGGTAGCGCTGCACGGGGTTGTTGTGACCCAAGTGCAGGGTAGAAAGGAGGGAAAGGCAGCGGTGAGGTTTCAGGCACAGGTTGCCCGTGCGCTGCACGGGGTTGTTGTGACCCAAGTGAAGGGTAGAAAGGAGGGAAAGGCTGCGGTGAGGTTTCAGGCACAGGTTGGCCATGGGCAGGCAAGGGGGACCGTACCATCTTCACAGAGCTTGCCGTGCACGCCGGGGGGACAGCGGCACTGCCCGGTGACGGGGTCACAGGAGCCTCCGTTCTGGCACTTGCAAACACTGGCACAGCCTCTGCCGTACGTCCCGGGGGAACAAGCTGTGGAGAAAGCAGGGAAGATGAACGGGCCAAGAAATCCTTGCCCTCTGCTAGAAACGAAATGAAATAAGACTCCGGTCATCAAAACTGAGCAAGAAAAAAGGGTCTTTAGTCAAGCGGGCTCTAAACAATTTCATATTCTTTCTATAGAAGGAAATACACTTCCATCTAATATTTACTAGCTAATTTTAAAAGGACTCTTGAATTAACCAAGCTTACTTATGTGAAGCACTATAGGATTTATCCGAATTCTCCCCTGCCGATGCTCCGCTCCACACAATGCACGGGGCTCAAAACATTGCCTATAAAGTACAAAGCTTAAAAATCAGAGCACAGTTTGGAATATTCGGAGATAAATATTTTAAATATTTATTTTTTTTTCTTCCCAAATACTATTATAAAAATAATGCTGTGTTTTCCTAAGGTAGTCTCTGAAATTCCCCAGATGATCGTGGCAGAAATGGATCCACATCAGCTCGGGATTCCTTCCTAAAGCCCTCACTGCTCCATTGCAAAACAAACTGTGAAATGAAGCCTGGCTCCACTGTTTGCAGCCTGAGTTGGCTGAGTAAATACAGTTGCTGAAGTCATCTGACTTAACTGACATTTTGTCAATGTACATTAAGAAACTTGACATTTCACATCAATTTCCATTTGGTTTCCTTGGTGCATTATTACAGAAATTTAGTTCCAGTTTTCTCAACTGTTTAGCTTACCCTAAACCCATGAACTATGCTATATTATTAAGAAAGCGACAGAAAAGAGTGAAAGTAATCACATGCGGCTAATTCATACAGATTATATATTGTATTTATCATTGCCAATGCCTATTTCATTGGACTGCAGGTTTGGCTCAATAATGCAGTCCCATTAAAGTCCTCTAAATTCCAGAGATGAATTCCACCAGATTACATGCATGGCTATCTACTGTAAATATAGACCAAAAATGTTATTATTATTTATGAAGTGAACGAAAGAATTTGTGTCCTGTCTTGAAATGTTTATAATCTATCCTGAACCACTAGAGAACTACGCATAGAAGTAAGAATATCCTAACTTGATAGCTTGAACTGTTTTAGGTAGCCTAGAAATTATCATTTTAATCCTCTTCATTTCTATTCTCTCAGCTGCCCCCAGTGTTTACAACCCAAACCCACAATCAGTCTCCCAGAATAACTGCAGGCAGACTGTTATTTCAATCATTTGCTGGTTTTTGTCTATTTTTCTGTCCTTGTGATGACGCCCCCTAAACAATCTTGCTGGAGATTAGCCTGAAGATTGCTCTCTACCAATGCTAAGTAATAATTCTTTGTCATCTCTTTGTCTCACCAGTGAGAGCACAGAGTTTCTCAGCATGATGGGCCATCACACCATACACCATGAAATGGAGGGACCCATCTCAAACATGCAGAGGACCTGCTGTGGGAAGTCTCAGACCAGCAACAGACAATTTTTGCTGAAGTGCAGATGAAGAATGGCACATGGTACATCAAAACATCACCACTCTATCTTTCCAGTTGGTTTTGACACAATGTTCTGAACCTGAAAGATCTTCTACCAGGAGGCAGGAATGAGGAGAGCAGAAAGCTATTACGAAGGGCACTGGCTAACTTGCCAAGAGAATTCTGAAAAATACAATTTCCAATGTTAAAACTTAACCATCCCAAGAAAATTATGTTAATAATAAAAAAAAAAGACATCCAGAGCCAAGTTTACCAACACTAGAAAAAAAAGAATAAAAAAGAGGCAATGACTTGGGATGCTCTAAAGGAAAAATAATGGAGTTTAGAATCTACCTCCACCCAGATTGTCACACCAGCTGCCAGGACAGACTTCTGAAAGTCAGCGAGGCAAGTTGTGGAGCGAAGCATGGCAGGCAGGCAAACCTTGGCAGTTTCCAGCAGCAGAGTGAATAGAAACGACCAGCAACACAAATACTTGGGCAGGGGTACCGCAGTGTCCTGCGCTGGAGGGCAGAGACCTCGCTGCTTGCGGGTTCCTATTGTACACTGCAGCAACCCTTACCATTTCTATTTAAGGTGCCACATTACAATAAAATTTTGATCTGCCTACGAGGCAGCTGTGCTCCTCGGAGAGCTTTAGAGATTAAAGGCACAACAGGTTATTCCTATTTCCTAGCTATCTGCAGGGTCACAGCAGTAGGACAAAGTCCCCACCTTTCAAAGGCACCGTACTCACTTTCATTACAGATAATGCCGCTCCACCCGGGCGAGCACACGCAGCCGCTGCCTTCGCTGTTACATCTGCCTCCGTTCAGACAATCCTCACAGCTCAAGCTACAGTCGTTGCCAAAAGTGTTATCGAGGCAAACTGAAATGAAAAAAAAAAAAAAAAAGGAAAAAAAATAATACAGAAGGTTTAGCGAGCATCCAGACAAAAATAATTCCACAAGCTCTTACCTATATTGTTCCAAATGCACGAGCGCAAAAGGGAACGTGCACAACATCGACAGACTGAAAAAAAAAACCCCGAGTATTCGTGCTGTTAGTGTTGCAAATACCACTGATTCATCCCCAAAGACAGTCCTAAATGGAGACTCCCAAATTTTCCTCTTCAAATTTTGAATCTAAATAAAAGGAAAGCTGGGACGTTATCTGGAATTAACTCCCTTAAATGCTTTCATTCCCCATCAAAGAGCTCTTAAACTACCATTTTGCCTTCAGAAAAAGTGAATTTGAACCTAATACTTGATAATATTCTATATAACTGAATATTTCTTGGGAGATAATCTCCTTTTCTCATTGCTAGGCTCTCCATTTTGTTATTCTATTGCAGTAGGTGGATGTGGTGCTATTTAAGCATAGTCCAGTGATATTTTTAACACCATAGTGTTAAGCAAAGCATAATATACATTTATCACTTCCTTTCTTCTTTGTGGATATGAAAAAAAGAAGAGTTAGACTATATGGAAAAACTAAAAAACATGAAAATGCATTCCCTCTCACCTTCCCCACCCTCCTCTTCCCCCTTCCACCCAAACGCAAGTGCAGACACATACCCTCATGTTCTCTCTTTGTGAGATCTATTGAGAAAGGCATAGGAAATAAATCTCACTCTCTGCTAAAATACCTTGGTGACATTAAGATCCTATCCACAGGGCCAGTTTATTGCCTTCGAGGCTTTATGGATGTGGCTGGAGGCTTTTTGGAAGGGGATTTTGAACAACACCTGAGAGCGAGCTGGCAGATTATTTCAGCTAACGGTTAAGTCAGCAGGCTCGTTGCTTTTCACCAGCAATTTTCTATGCGAGGCCAGATTTCCTCTAGGTCTCGGCACCCAACTGCTCCTTTTTCTGTAGTTGAACAAATGCCCAAGCTTTCAGAGACATTCAGAATCCCAGTGCTCCCACTTGGAAGAGGTTACAAATTCATACTTCAGGAGAAGAATACAGATTACCATTAAAAACATCATGCTTCTACATCCAAAAGTCACTCAAGCTATAGAAAATATTTAATTACTTGCACCAGCCTATTGTTAAAGTGTGGGGGTTTTTTATAATATAGAAAGCAGCACAAAAATATGTCTGTAAGTATTAATTAACTTCTCCAGGAACGTACTTCTCATGAAGTTCAACAAGGCCACGTGCAAGGTCCTGCATGTGGGTCAGGGAAATCCCAAGCACAAACACAGATTGCGAGGAGAATGGATTGAGAGCAACTCTGAGGAGAAGGACTTGGGAGTGTTGGTTGATGAGAAACTCAACGTGAACCAGCAATGTGTGCTGGTAGCCCACAAAGACAACCACATCCTGGGCTGCATCCCCAGCAGCATGGCCACCAGGGTGAGGGAATGGATTCTGCCCCTCTGCTCTACTCCGGGGAGACACCCCCTGGAGTGTTGTCTTCAGCTCTGGGGCCCTCAGCACAAGAACATGTACCTATTGGAGAGGGTCCAGAGGAGGGACACAAAGATGATCAGACAGCTGGAGCACCTCTCCTGTGAGGACAGGCTGAGAGAGTTGGGGTTGTTCAGCCTGGAGAAGAGAAGGCTCCAAGGAGGCCTTAGAGCCCCTTCCAGTCCCTAAAGGGGCTACAGGAGAGATGGAGTGGGACTCGATCAGGGAGTGGAGCAAGAGGACAAGAGGTAACAGTTTTAAACTGAGAGGGGAGATTTAGATGAGATATTAGGAAGAAATTCTTTCCTGTGAGGGTGGTGAGACACTGGCTTAGGTTGCCCAGAGAAGCTGTGGCTGCCCCATTCCAGGAGGTGTTCAAGGCCAGGCTGGATGGGGCTTGGAGCAACCTGGCTTGGTGGGAGGTGTCCCTGCCTGTGGCAGGGGCTTGGAACTCGGTGATCTTTAAGGTCCCCTCCAACCCAAACCATTCTATGAGTAAATTCATACTTGGAAGGTAAAAGAACTTACTAAACCATTAAAAGTTTCATTTCTCCATCACCTTTTCTTATAAACCATCACGTGCTGCAAAGCCTCAGCTTTAGAAAAAACGCAGATGCTCAGCTATGACTGAAAACACCCAAATTTAAGTGGCTAAATATAAATAAAACATGCAAAAACTGGCCAATAAATATTTGATTGTGGTTTCTAGGCCTGATAATTTTGCCCGTGGTTATCTCATTTATCACTTTCCCAATTGGTTACCAGTGTCATTGAGTCCGGCTGGATGCTATGTGATTTGGGAGGTCTTAACAGTTTTGTTCATAAAAGTAAGTTAATTTTTTATTAAAACCAAGACCAGTTCTATGATTTATGCCTGTAGGGCACAGTCCTCCGATGAGTAATTAGAGCTCGTACAAAAATCACAGGACATACATAACAAAAATAAGAAATTTCAGACCCACCAGCACATACTGCAGACATCAGAGAGAAAGCACAGGGTTTCAAACTCATAATACTTTCAAGTGGTGAAGCCATGCAAATTCCAGGTGGGGTGAAAAGCTGCTTGCTAGAAGGCACAGGGACATGCTGCTTCGCACCCCACTCCTGTGACTCTGTGTACTCATGTGGTCTCTATGCCACCAGTTGTGCCAAGCCCTCACCAGCCTGATGGATGGGGATGTGCTTTTCCCAGAAAACATGCCCAAAGCATCAAAAGGGACCTGAATCTCCAGAGGCTTTTTCCCCCATGCACAAACAAGGAGGCAAATATCTTAAGCAAGAAAATCTCAAATTATTATGAGGGCTTGTAAACACACACTTCCCAAACTCCCTCTCCTACCTCTAGGAGAAAGGGAACATTTCCCGAGGGTTTGTTCTCAGTAGAGCAGCTTTGGTGGATTTTGTGCATTGCAGTAACCCACACGGTCCTCAGGCCCATGGGATGAACAGGATCTCTCTGTCTGTTGCCTCCAGGGCTTTGTGCAGACACCCTGTTTTCCCAAAGAAGCCTCCCATTCCTTGCCTGCTGGGCTGCCCCCTTTTCCCATCCCTCCCTGATGCACCCAGGTGGCAACAGCTACGACCAGGGAGCCTTCCTGTTCCCCAAACACGTCCCATTTGGGATGGGATGTGTGGCAATGCCTCCTCCCTGCTGACACGGAGGACAGGCAGAAAGCAGGATTAACACTCACCACTCCTCCATGGGGGGGTTGGCCTAGATGATCTCCAGAGGTCCCTTCCAACCCCGTATGATTCTGTGATTCCTCTGCTCTTCCTGAAGGCTTAAGCCTGGCCAGCCCAGCATCACTCTCACCCCAAATCCTCTTTCCAAGGTTATTCCCCCCATTTGCTGCCATGGCTAAAAGCCTTGCTCATTCACTCACCGACCCTGTGCACCAGGGTGAGTTCTCCTCGTGGGTCTTCATCCTCGTAGAGGGCACCGAGGGCGTAGTGAAGGAGCTGGGGGGGACCTCTGAACTGCAGCCCGGGAGCCCCGGCGAACCCCGTCGCCTCCTCCACATCTGTCTCCTCCCCACCTAGGGCTGACACACACACACACACACAGGAGACATCAAGACCTGGCCTCGAGTCTTTCTCTGCGACACTTTCCTCTCATTTACATCTTGTTTTTATTAGTAGATTTTCCAGCTACCTCCCTGGGCAGTCTGCACGGCGGTCACAGCCAATTCATTTTCTCATCTGTATTTATAAACAGAGTCTGTGCTTTCCAAAAAAGAGAAAAAGAAGGGGGGTGTATGTGAAATCTTTCCCCTTCCTTCCTTGTGGAAATAAACTCTGCTCCTAAAGAGCCCAAAAAAAATTAAACGAGGAGTTTAATTTTCCTCATTTGAAGTTTGAGACTATTTTTAGTTAATGAAGGTCATTACTCTAGCTCATTTTGGAGATGACAAATATAGAGTGAGGCTGGCTGTCCAATTTATTTTCAGAGAAACTAAAAATTTGAGCCTCAAAGAGCTGGGAAATCAGTTGGTTTTCTTTTTGGAGTTGGTTAAAATACCAAACTCTGCCTAAGGTTTTTTCTTTTTGGAGTTGGTTAAAATACCAAAAATACCAAATACCAAAAATAGCAGGTGTTAAACTTGGTTATAAAATTAATTTGCCAGGCTAAACTGGTTACACTGGCAGAAATCCAGAATCACACCGCTGACTTTAGTGCCAAATTTGCTTTGGTTCAAACCAGAATCTGGCTGCCTTTTTTCCACAGGATGTTAAACTTCATCAAATAGGGCAAGAAAACTGTCAAAATAGTACTTATTTCCGAAACATGAGGTTTAGGTTTTCAAACGTGTCCAGGGGATTTAAGTGTTCATCTCCCATTAATCTTCGGCAAAACCCATTACTTGAGGATGAACTTGGGATCCACGTGTTGCATGCAGGCTCCACCTGGGCCACGTTTAGAGACAGCTCAAGTCGGGCTCCTAAAATCCCAGGATCTGTGAATCTCTGTCGAAATCACATTTTAAATGGCCTTCAACACGTAAAAGCAACTTACCGATGCAGGACCATCTGTTAACACCAAGCCTGTAACCCTCCTTACACGCACATTCGTATGACCCCAGAGAATTAACACAGAAATGGTCACAGTTGCCATTATCAAGACGACATTCATCCACATCTAAAAAAAACCAGATATAAATGCTGATTAGGTGCAAGTACCTCTGCTTGGAGGGAGCCCTTTGTGTCTGGCTGCAGCTGAAAAATTATTCTGCACATAAGAAAACCCAATTTTCTTAGTATTTTTTGGCTCTCCGTGTCTCTAGTAGTGGAGATATTAAAACATTTCAAGGCAACATGGAACGGATTATTTCACCTATGTTTTTGTCTCAAGTGAAAACAGCTACTTTAAGCTGTTAAGCTCCGTTGATCCCTTGGTTATTTTGAGGGCTCTCCTTTTGTAGAAGCAGTCTTTAACACATCAATATACAGTGTCCATGGAGAGAGGAGGAGAAGTTCCTCTCTGCTGGCTCGTCTCTCACGGCCCCACTTCTCCAGGCTGGATGCTGGGTTATTATTATTATTCCAGTCTCACAAAGTGGAAATGACACATTTGTAAAACCTTATCAGCAAAGCTGATGTACGGTCACCGATTCCCTTATTAAGGAAATGCCCACAAAGCCCCGGGATGAGCTTTGACAGCGTGTCTTCTTCCTGCTGTTGGGCTTAGTCAGACCAAAGCACTGGTACCAAAGGACTCACCGTCGCAGGCGCAGCCGTCGGCGTTGGGCTGGAACCCCGCTTTGCAGGCACACTCGTAGCCTCCCACGTAGTTGATGCAGAATTGGGAGCAGCAGGACTCTCCGGTCTCACACTCGTCCACCTCTGCAAGGAAGAGGCAGCTCCTTCAGCCCTTGGACACCCTCTGAGCTGCTGCCACCGTTTTCCTCGGTAGCTTTTCAGCACATGCCTCTCTACGCCCTCACCCACATAAAACACTGTCTGAATCCTGAGAGCAGCTGTCTTCCACCTTCTCCCACAGCACCCAGTACCCTCCATGTCCAGGGAAAAGCATCCTTTCACAGAATCACAGAATCTTAGTGGTTGGAAGGGACCTCCAAGATCATCGAGTCCAACCACAAAAAAAACCCAAACAAACAAAAAACAAACCAACAAAAAACCCCCCACAACCACCCCAAGAGCAACAAACCCAAAACCCCCACCCACCAACTAAACCCCACATCCACAGCCCCACACACTACACCCCTCCACAAACCAATAATCTTGGGCACTAGAGCATGCCCTGAAGAGCCACATCTACCCGTTTCTTAAATACCTCCAGGGATGGTGACTCCACCACCTCCCTGGGCAGGCTGTTCCAGTGCCTGACCACTCTTTCAGTAAAGTAATTTCTGCAAGTCATAACTACCACCAGGTGGTTTACAAAAAACAGTGACAATTAAGGACATGGACCAGCTGGAACAGGTGCAGCGGAGGGCCACGAAGATGATCAGAGGGATGGAGCACCTCTCCTATGAAGACAGGCTGAGGGAGCTGGGATTGTTCAGCCTGGAGAAGAGAAGGCTTCGGGGAGACCTTATAGCAGCCTTTCAATATCTGAAGGGTATCTCGATAGAAGAGCTGGGGAGGGACTCTTTGCCAGGAGATGTAATGATAGGACAAGGGGAAACGGTTTTAAATTGGAAGAAAAAAGATTCAGATTAGATCTCAGGAAGAAATTTTTTATTATGAGGGTGGTGAGACACTGGAACAGGTTGCCCAGGGAAGCTGTGGCTGCCCCATCCCTGGAGGTGTTCAAGGCCAGGCTGGATGTGGCCTTGAGCAACCTGGTCTGGTGGGAGGTGTCCCTGCCCAGGGCAGGGGGGTTGGAACTCGATGATCTTTGAGGTCCCTTCCAACCCGAACCATTCTATGATTCTATGAACTAGCTCCCACCAGCCCACAAATACTATCTATTTAACAGTATTTAACCATTTGCACTTCTGTATGTTCCACCTTTTTCAATGCAAACTACTAGTGAGACAAAGCTCTGATCCAACCCCGCATCTGCCGGGTGCAGTCGTGGTTTTTGATACCTAATTGCCCATGGCCTTATTCTGCCCTGTGTCCATCCGGAAATTGGTATCGTAGACACTGCTGTTCTGGTGATTAGATACAAGGATTGAGCTGTTATCTTTTCGCTGCAGGCTCTCAGCTGATCTCAGCCCCGCTGAGCGGGTCGGTGGCCATTCAAGGGCCACCTTGTCAATGCTGAGTCTGCAAAGCGCTTCTGAACGTCACCCCAGACGAGCAGCCGCAGATGGGAAAGGTCAGTGTCTCAATTAACCTTGGAAGGAGCACCAACATTATTAGGAAACACCGGCAGGAGAAAGAGGAGAAAGCAAATGTAATTAATCAATCAGGGTGAGGAGGTCAGCGTGAAAATGATTAATGCAGGTTATTTGAGTGCGGAGTATTTTCCAGAAATGTCACAAACCCAGCTCCTCTGCAGCACCTCAGACGATGCCTTGCTCTGGGGTCTGGCAACAGCCCCTTGTCTGTGTAGGAATGCAAAACGTGCAGCCAACAAAAAGATTTTTTGCTGTTAAGAGCAGCTTTTCACGTCCTCAGCCTTGCCAAACCCTTCCCCTGTGCTCTCACTTCCCTCGCTGTGGCCAGAGGAACTGCGTCCCTCTGAAATCTCCACCAGGAGGTCACTGAGCAGGGCTGTGGGCAGGAGGCTGCTCTGCCTCCTCTCATCCGCACACAAACCAAACTGTGCAACCCATCCCACCCCTGCGGGGCTCAGGGTCCCAATCTCCCTCCCTGACCTTCTTTTCTTTTGCTTTTTAAGCCCCAGCACCAACTGTCCTTGCAGACCTCAGTGCTTCCCTCCTCCCCCTCTCCTTCCTCTCTCCTCCGCTTGGCTTCTTTTGTTGAGAGACTCTTCTCGTCTGTAATGACTCTCACATTCACCAGAGCTCCCCCTCTCCACCTCTCCCCATGTTTTTCTACACTGCTCTGTGATGCCTGCTCTATTTCCTTCCCCCCCCCGCCTCTTCTTGGCTATTCTTTAAAATTTTAATGGCACGGTGACAGTGAGTCTAAACCAGAATGAGATACAGTTTGCACAGCAAAAGTCGTAAACAAAAAAAAAAAAAACCCACATTGTAAAATCGTTTAAAACGCGAAGGAGTTTTTTAAGCTCCTCTCTCGAAATAAAAACAAATCTAACTCTATCACTTTCACTTCCTAAGTGAGACTTCTCACAGCCACCAGAAGTGCAATCTCATCACCGAGCAAATCTGATGGAAATAGAGCAACTTCCATAACACCAAGCGGAGTTTGCGCACGAAGCACTGCAGGAGAGCAGAGCTACTGCTCCCAGCCACAGCCGACCCTCATCCCAGCCACCGCCTGAAGAAGGGAAGGAAAAAAGCTCGGCCAAGTGATGCTTGGTCTGGACACAATGAGACACGGCCACAGCAACTGGTGACGCACCAAAGTGTCATCTTCCACTTGGGAGGCAGAACCCCTTCCCCTCGTTAATTAATAATCCCAGCCAGCACGCAGAGCAAGGCAAGCCGGAGCAGCCCTGGAGGAAGCGCCGGAGGACGGTATTAATTAAAACCTGTAGGAGAAGGGCAAGGGATGGGAAGGTATCTCCATGAGTGACAGCTCTCCTGCCAGCTCCCCTGGCAGGGACCTGCCACATCTCCTCCTTCCTCCCGCCGAGACGCAGCGTTGGCCAGGAATTACCTGCACACGTTTTGCCATCAACACCCAGGCGATAGCCGTCGTCGCAGGAGCAGCGCGGCCCCGCAGTCGTGTGCTCGCAGTGATGAGAGCAGCCACCATTGCTGTCCTGGCAGCTATCGACAATTTCCATTTCGATGCCTTGCAGAGAAAGAAATCAAAAGGATGTTAAAAAAGCAAGCGCAGTGGGGGGAGAGTCACTGGAGAATAAGCCTTCCGTAGAAAAAGCATCCGTAAGCCGACTGCTGCAGCAGGAAATAGAAACTCAGATCCCACACGCACCCAAGAAGGGCATGTTTTGGAGTCACTGAGCTCCAGGTATTTGTCTCCTTTATGTCGTAACAGTGGATGCTCTCAGCTTTGGTAGTGTAAAACCAGCTCACCATTTCAGCAGTCTGCCGGCTACGAGAGCGCTCACGGGTTTCCTCAGATTTATGCTTTGTTGGAACCTAACAGTGAGGTCTGCCCTTGCCCCTGAGGAGGAAAGGAACCATCTGAGGAACCCAGGTGACTCATCTCAACCCAGAAACACTTACGGTTTCCAAAAATCAGCTTTCAGTTTTGTATGCAAAAAACTTGGGTTCTGAAACATCCACCAAACACAAATGCTTTAAAATTTTCATGGCAGAGTCCTGTTGGTCTATCACCCAACCACAAAGAAACTCCATCCGCAGGTTTTGACCCTTTGATGTCTCTTCAAGGGGCCACACAGCAGCTCCTCTGCTAAGACTTTTTTCCCCCCTACAATTAAGACAGGGTGGTGGTAAGATGCCATCACCAGCCCCATTCACCCTGACTGACCATCCCACCTTCCTGCACTTGGCTATGATGGACAGTTCTCACAACATTTTGGTCAGGTCCAGTGGAAACCTTCATAAAAGAAAGGGAACATCTGCCCATCTCATTCCACCAATGTACTTCATTAAACAATTTCTTTAGGATGAAAACAAAATATAAGTTCAGTTACAAATTTTCTCTTGAAGAATTAGCCAGATTGTCTTGTTACAGATTTAGAGAAGAGTTAATTTCCTGTACTATATAGGAGAACTGAGAAACACCCTCCCTAAAGGAGCCATCATTCTTCCCTTCCAGAAACACCCCCAGCTCAGAGTGGTGGCCATCAGATGTGGTACAGAAGGATGGCACTTCCCTGCTGCCGTGGCTCACGGACACATTGGTGTCGGTGGCTCTGATCTCTTTTTGTGCCCCCAAGGAGCAACCTGCCTGACGACAAGAAATACAAGTCTAGCTGGAAGAGGCTATAAATTAGGAGAACACATATAGAGGACTACGTTCATGCATGGTATAATTATTTGCACCAGGGAGATGAAATCTAGTCTCCTGCCCAGTGCGTTAAGCTGGGATTTAGGAAGCTCAGCGATCCAATGCAGAATCTGACTTTATACACTATCTTCATCATTTATTTTGTCTCAGTTCTTCATCAGTAAAACTGGAATAAAAGCTCTTCCCCATGCCACTGGGGAAATGAAAGAATAAACAAAGATTGTAAATTGCTCAAACACTGGGATAATCCTGATCATAAATATATGCAGAATGTTTTTATTTTTATTGTTTGCTCTGTAATATTGTACATAAGGCACAGAGAATCACCACCCCCTGAGATCTGCTGAACATCGAGAAAAAATATTATCAGAAAATCACACTGAAATCTAAATGGTCTAAACCACTTTTTTATTCCCATAACAGATCATTTCATATCTATATATTAATTGCATTTCCTCCACCATTGTACTACTCACAGCTCTCCATCACCTCTGAAATAATTCTCCAGGATGTCTCTCACATAATTGGTTTTTGGTTTTAATGTATGTTAATGCTTTGAAACTGAATTTCACCCTCAATAAGTATTTCTTACACACACATTCTTAAAGAAAGCACTCATTCTCTGGCATGCAGCATATTTTCCTAAGGAAATTCTGCTGGAAGTTCTTGCACAGCATTAATAGATTGAACGATCTTTGCCCTCCTCTTTGCTCAAACAGGTCATGCTTTTGTCTGCATTCCAGTGAGCTTATGTTAGGTCCATAATACCACCAACCCTTCCACATCACCTCCTTTATTAACCTAAATGTGCCCTCAAGGGCAGCCCAGGGATCACCTATCAACTAACAGTGCTGGGAGTCACTCCCCTTCTCAAGAAAAGAAGGGTTGATTAAGAAACCCCGCTGGCAAGAGGGAGGTATGTGAGGGAAAACAACAGGTTCAGCATCGTTTTAGTTGGAGAAATTTTAGTTGTTCAACTATTTTTTTTTTTTATCCCCAATCTTGCTTTTTCCTTTTTTTTTTTTTTTTTTTTTTTTTTTAAGGCATCTACTTAACAGTGTCAATAATCTCAGGAGGAAGATAAGTAAACACAGACAGATAAAGACAAGAGCAGAACATCGTGTTGGTTTTCTTTTGCATCAGATCCAGTACATTAAAAAAAAATGGGACGAGGAGGGCAAGAATAACTACATTTCATAGGATAGCAATATTTTGGTAGCTCTGCAATAGAATTCACCAGCCTCTGAAGATAAACCAAGTGGGCTATTTGGTCTTTGAAATGCAGTAATTAAGGTCTGTGAACACAGGCTTAGGAATGTATCAACCTGCAAAACCAGCAGTAGCAGAAGATGAAGAAAATAGTATTAAGCTTGAGCTTTTGCATACATTTATTTTGCTGGGAGTGCTAATCCAACTGAATTAAAAAGGAAGCCTAGCCATTTGCAGATAAGGCAGCCTGAAAGGCGTTGGGTGCAGAAGCGTCACTTACGGTAGCACTGCTTCCCGTCAGCCCCCAGCTCGAAGCCGGGGTTGCAGTCACAGGTGAAGGATCCTGGAGTGTTCACACAACGATGAGCACACCTGGCTCTCCCTTCTGCACACTCATCAACGTCTGCGAAGCAGAGAGAAAGGCAAAGACATTCATTCGGATATTCAAATAAAAAATAACGCCGCTCTACGCGCACACGGGTGCGTTTCCAAAGATCGACTGAAAAGAGCATCCTGATGTTAGTCTACAAACGACAGCATTTGATGAATGTAGGAGCACTGAACTCACAGCAATATTCTCCAAAATAATCTTTTTTTTTTTTCCTAAACACTGCTGACCTTGAACCTTTCAACAGGAATATTTACAGCATCAGACATTATATTTACAGAATCAGCCAAAGCAGCTTGTTTATTATTCCTACACCAAAAGCAATGGCAAAAGAAGCCACATGAAGGACTCAGGAAAAAACCTGTCTCCCAGCACTTTAAAATTATCACTAGGTCCTCACAGCTGTGATATTTAAATGAATGGAGCGAGAAATATCTGATGATTTCCCAAATGTCAAATGGTTTGGATTTGCTGGGTCTCAGCAGGTACGATGGAGACAGATCTTCTCTGTCACATCCCTGAATCCTGCAGCTGCTTCTACAGAAGCCCAGCAGGGAGACACCTGCTCTGAATCAGAGGAGTATCACCTCCGTGGGGAAGCTGTTCTTCACCCAGTCCTCTGTCAAGCACTCTGTTCCTCAGCTTTCCACTCTTTAGTCTGGATTTTGGAATTAAATGCCACCGAAGGCATCCGTCTGCCTAAAAACTTAGTGGAAAAGGAAGGAAGTGCTTTTAAGGAATAATAATTGGGAAAAAAACCCCAACAACAGCTTACACTAAATACCTCTCTGCAAGAAACAGAAGCCACCTTGCACAGACTGGCATTATCTCACACCCACCTCCCGCTCCTTCTCTTGTTCTGACATTTCGCTGGCGAAATACAGATTATTCATCCCAACGATCCTGGGTCGGTCCCACATGGGGGAGACCCATCCAGTGGGCAGCTCCTCACCTTTTACCCCAGCAAACCACTTTCTAACAGGTTTTTTTTTTCCTCCACGTGTGCTGGTTACAGTGCGGTACCCGTGGCCCCTTGTACTTGAACACAAGTAGCTTTATGAATGCAATCAGCCAACTTGCAAAAAGAGGCCCCAGGCACCGCAAACACCACACACCAGCTCATGAAAATTTCAGGATAAATGACAGCATCTCCGAAGCAGCCATGTGAGGAGCTGCTGTTTAAAATAAAATGGGTTATTTCTCCTTCTTCTGTAATTAATTGCCATTTTGCAAGGAGAGTACATTGGCAAATGCTGGAAATGTTCTTTTCTCCTGCTTCTGCTTTTTCAAATAGAAAAACAAAAAGTCGGAAAACCGAACGGCAGCCACCATCATGCACGCTTCTCTGTATCTTTTAAATATAATTAATCGCTAAAGTCTGACACTTTAGATGTCCTCTGTCTCCTTCTAGCTTCATTTCCAAAGAGTCAAGTACCAGCTTGAATTTTGCAAAATATGTTGAGTAATTTCTAGGAGAAAAACCAATAATTGTAAACCCATGGTAAGACATGACGCTTAATGCTCCAAAAGACTGCTGCCACGAGGTTGGGAAGACAATTTGTTCCAATATGTAACATTGCAAGTTGCTAGGGCTTTAGATTATACATAAATTAACAGAATTGTCAGATGTATCTGAGATAAAACAAATAACATGCTGACCCTAGAATTAAACCCACTGCTGTTTCCATCTATTAATCATCAGTGTAGCATCTACGCTACTTGAAAAGACTTTGCTTTTTCCAGTAACCTTACTCATGAGTAACCCCAGTGCGAGGGGAATCACTGAGGTGTGTGATTCTACTTGCAGAAGGGCTTAAAGCAACTGAGTAAAACACTCAGGGTAGGAGTAAGTATTTTGCAAAGCACCCTGTACTCTATAAATAAGCCAACAATTTAAGTATGGGCAAAACTGTGGCCAACTTTTTCAAAAGGAGGAATTTAGTACCTGAGTAAGTACCCTGATCCTGACACGGCTGGTAAAAATCTGTGCGCCGTGAAGTCCACGGATGCTTTGCACTTTGTAAAACTGATAAAGTATCCAGCTTCCAAGCATCATATTGAACAAGAAAATCAGGTACTTTGGCCTCTACTTCCCCCACATTTCGGGTCAGAAATGCTTTAGATCCTTTTGAAAATCCCACACTAAATACAGGACTTTGGAATTAAACTTTTTAAGCTCTTTTTGGAAATCTTAGACTTCGTGATTTCTCCCTTCACAGTAGTTTCTCTATTAATATGGAAACAGTTCTCCGGCTAAAAAGCCTTTTGAATTCTAAATAGGTTTTCGGTGACCTGGTTCAGAGTGTTACTTGAACCAATTTTCCAGGAGCTGTATCTGGGGCATTATTTTAAAGGGACCCTACAAGAATAACACTACAGCATCTACAAATCCAGTAGCTAGAAAGCATGATTTAAGAGATCACAGAGTAATTTTCATTACTAAAATGGTCCTTCAAGACTACGGGCTGACATAAATATCACAGAGAGAACTGCTGTTTCAAAATGCATACATATATTTGTATAACATATTCCTTTCCTTTCAAAGCTCAGTAAGCCAGAGCACTGATTAGAACCTTTCTTCTCAATAAATGGTCCATAGTTTCTTACCTAAACAGGACTTTCTGTCTGCAGAAAGCTAATGCCCTGGATGACACTGGCATTTCACAATTCCTCTCTCATTTTGACAGATTTGCAAGCATCCTCCATTCCCACTTGTGCAGGGGTCTATCACTGAAACCAATTAGAGCACACCGCCAACCTAAAGGTCACATTTTTGTCTGAAAACGGTCTTACCTGCCACCGTTACAACTAACGATGAAGATTACTGTAGCTGTAAGAGATTAGACTGGAAAAAAAAAAACCAAAAACAAACTTGACAGAATTTGGTGTATAGCAAAGCCCTTGTTTTTCTGTCTGCTATTTTCTCTCTCGCAGGACAGCATTTTTCATAGAGCGCCAGCAACGCTTTAAAACAGCGGGAAACCGGGCTCGTATTACACCTTGGAAGTAGGACAAGAAAAGTACATTTTATTCTTCTTTTGCCGTAACTGAGCAGATTTCAAGTGTTGCTCTAAACAATAGCAATTAGCACTCCCACATGTGTGAACCCATAAACACATGCAATGGCGGAGTTCACCACAGAACAATGTGTATTTTAAAGTCTCCAGAGGAAATCAATGCTGAAGAGCCCCCAAAGACCCCCTTCGGTTTAAAAACATATGCCATTCATGTTGTACATCAAGATTTTTCCCTTTTTTTGAACAATAACATACCATTTCAAGGATAAGGCGCTCTAAGCGGCAAGTACTCGGAAACGCTATTTATAAAATGTCTGAAGCCTTTACCTCAAAGATTTCACTGGTTTTACAAGTTTATTTCAGGAACACATACCTGCTGGAAGTGTACTGATGTATTTTCCTAAATAAAGACTTCGCACACACCAAAATGGATGTACCAGGTCTGATTTGAGTTAAGAGTCAGAGCTTTCATACCAAAACCTGGCATTCTGCAGAAGGTTGGGGTTTCAGTTTGGAGTACCACTTACAGGAACATGCTGGTGAGTAACATTAGGTAGGTAGATTCGGAGGACACCTTTGAAAATACGTCCTCCAGAGTTCTGCTTAGTTTCAAATAAAGCTTTTTGAAAGTTAAGCCTATTTCCTTACAATTCCAGCTCTAATTCAGTTTTATCATTTTAGGAATTATTGTCCAATTTGGGATATTTGACTACTACTACTCACTCGCCTCCAGCCCAACATCTCCTTCGCTGGGTATCTCAAGCTCTCTATAAGCCAACTTCTATCCACCAGGAAGATAGTCAACACCAGTTCAACAGCCCTGGCAGTGGAGTCAGGGTTTCAGTAACCCTGGAGAAGGGTTGAAGGTGTTTTCCTTGTTGCTTTGCTCTTCCAGAGCCTAACCACACACACATACAGCTATGCAGGAGAATCAAACAGGAGAGAAGGACCTCTATTTTATATAGATACATTTAAATATAGGGTGGTTTTTTTCATTTCCTCCAGTTTTTACTTTTCTGTGTAGCCAGCGGCATTTCGTGCCACCATTTGGCAAAGGTGGAAGGTGCCCCAGAACACCTTCATATTCCCTCATTTCACCTCCTGCCATCTCAAGAACGCAACTGTTCGAGGCTGCAGGCTGAGAGTTTGACTTGACAGTATTAAAAAAATAAATATAAAAATAAAATCACTGTTAGGGATGCTGAACTGAGATTTTCTGTTGGACTTTCAACACGATAGGTTGCAAATAGGTTTCCAAGGGACAGCAGCACTTCATCCTACGTGACACTTTCAAGCCTGACAACTTGGCTCTGCAGTTTGACAATCTGCGGTCTACAAAGGATTTAGCTTCAAGCAAGAACTCGTTCCTTGCTGATATGAAATATTGAGTTATTTGCCGATTCTTTTTCTATTTGGTTAAATTAAATGAAATCACTATCAAACAGCATCTGTTAAACCTGCATATTATAAAGGTTTTCAGAGCATCTAAAGCTTTAATTTGAGAATGATTACAGCGTGGAGTAAAACTTGTGATATTCTGTGACATGACAACAAGCAAACAACAAATTATAGGGTAGATGTTAGTAAAACATAGTAATTTGAATAAAGACAGCAGCCTTGGAAGTCCTTAGAACAAGATAAATTTGTAAAAGTGAGATCTTCAGGACATAAGGCAACCACTGATTGACTTGTTTTCTACTGACATATCTGTTCCTTCCTGTTAGAAGCAGGTTTCAGGAAAAGCTAAAAATAATTCACTGGTGTTCTTTTTCCTACACATTTGGCTCTTATTGTTTGACTTAATAACCATAGTGGATAATAGGCTCCACCCTGTGAAGCTCTATTCCAAGTAGTTAAATACTACGGCAAAAAATTTACTGGAACTGTTTCATTTCCTAGATGTCCCAGGACATCCAAGAACCTCATCTGAAAGAGCCATGGTGAAGTGTGAGTATGGCCCAGGACATCCAAGAACCTCATCTGAAAGAGCCATGGTGATGCATTGATCCAGGGTGGCAGCAATGTTCTTGGTGAAGTGTGAGTAGGTACTCTGCATGTGCTGTGCACCTTCCAGACCTTCACTGCAAGGTTACAAAGAACAGGGACTCCCATCCTATCTGCCATGACTTCTAGAGCACATAAAGAGAATTAGGCCTTATCAAGGTAATTTTCTTGTTCACAGCAACCATGACTTTATACTGGAGAAAATATGAAGTGGTGAGGCGTACAATTTCCTTCTCATGGTAGGGAAGGCTAACAGGTGGAAATAGCATGGATTTATAGAAGGGAAATTCAAAGTGACTTGAGAAAGATATTTGTTCTTGCCACCTCTGGATAACTCAATGGAGAATTCACTCCAGGACATATCCTGTGTAGCCCATTCTCTTATACAAGTATCACAGCCCCTGCTGACCTCTTCTATACATATCTCACCCATGGAGGAATTATCTCACTGCTTTGTCTGATGCCACTACTCCATCCCATTGGTTTGCCTCCATGCTGAAGGCTGCACCACCCTACCAGGCTTGGGTGTTTCTGTATGGACTTTCAGGGCTCCAGGGTGCAGCATTAGCTCCAAGGGAGTCAGCGAGGATGACTCCACACCTGCAGCACAGCTATGCCTGCTGCACCAAATACCCTCATGATGCCGTATTTATTTTCTCCATCCAAACTAGCACTACAGCAGCCATCCTTTCTAGTTGGAAATTAAAAGCAGCCAGGCTCACCTTCTCACACCTTTTCTACTTAAAACATCTCTAATTGCCAATCTAAATGTATTCATGGCCACTTATGCTCATTTGTTCCTGTAAAAATCTTGTCCATCAGCTTAACTAGCACTTTTCTCTCCCAAGTGTTTATTTGCTAGGGTGCTTGTGGGAAAAAAGCATCCTGCTCGGTCTTCACTCTACCAGCTGAGCTCCCTTGCAAGAGAGATTCTCCTTCCTCTGACCATAGCTGTCCTCCTGGGGGGGTTGTGCTATTCTATTTTGATTTACAGCACCCTGAACCCAGGTAAGCAGCTGCACACGAGAACTCCAGATAAGGTCTCAACCACAGACAAAGCTGACCTTGCCCCATCTCCACTGTTCAGTAATTACTGGCTGGTGACGAACTGCTGCCTTCGGTGTGTGGCTGACCCTCATCAGCCCCACGATGTGAGGGCCACAGCTGCCCGTGTGGTGGCCAAACCTTACCGATTAGGGAACCAAGCCTGCTCGTTTTGCTGAGACACAAAGGTTTGATCTGCTCCGTTACCACCCAAGGGACAACTCCCACCCACCCCAGCATCGCCACACTGAGATCCTGCTGACCCCAACCCCTGTCCCACCACAGCACCATAAAAAAACATCAAGCTTTTACGGAGGGGTCTGCACATCCAGCTGGCTTGGCCAAGGACATCTTGAGTGCCAGAGGCAGTGGAGAAGCCATGAGAAGTCTTGAAATGGTCTGGAGAACAGTGGAGGAAGGTCTCTGACACCCTCTTCCTAATAATGCTCTCCTTTTCTGACACTTTCTGACTATCCCAGGGACAAACCGTGGCCACCCTGTGAGAGATGGAGGAGCAGCGAGCTGCAGATGCTCGCTGAAGCTCAGTGAGTCCAGTCTCTGCAGAGGGCAGGACCTGGGGAGGCCAAAACCCAAGGCCAAGCGCTCGCTGCACACAGCGTGAGCTGGAAGCAAGCTGAACAGCAGGATTTACTTACACTTTATACACAGCATATAAAATCTCCGAGCAGAAGAGGAGCCATATGGAAACGGTTTTGTGACAGGAATTTTAGTGCAATAAATCCATAAATTTGGCCCTATCTTTCTCTGGCATATTCAAGGGTACCATGTGTGTGCGCTTGTGTTGGGGAAGGGGGGGGGGTTGCCTTGAAAACTGATGAATATGTTAAGATACATGAGAAAGAAAAAAAAAAACCAATGATCAAACCCAAAGGTAGGAATTCTGTTCTGCTTGCGAGAGTGTTTGCTCAGAAACCTGAAGGGGAGGATGAATGAATCAGACTGCCATTAGCAGCAACATAAGCCAAAAGCAGATGAAGAAAAGGCTTTACGTAGAATAAAACATGGTACGCAGGCCAAGCCTATATACAGCTCGATGAATAATAAAATGTTAGAATTAAACCACAATGAAGTTCCTAACCTATGCCATCATCGCCAGTGTGCGATGAACAGCAGTCTACGAGGCCAAAATCTCATTTGAAGCTCTGAATCAAGGTGAACTTCACACCTCAAACACGTGGCATTTTCATTAATAAGTGATTCCTTTTGGCCAGCTGGGTGAAACAGGAATGAATACAGTGACCTGAAGCACTGTCCTGGGGTCCTTTAAACTGCCTTCAAGGTAGCGCAGGACTTACCTTCACAGGATTTGGCATCCCTCTTCAGCTGGTAGCCCGGGTGGCACTGGCACTTGTAGCGGTCCTCACCGAGCTGAAGGCACTCCTGCTCGCAGCCCCCCTTGTTAACACTGCAGGAATTGATGGCTGGAGGCAAGGAAGGATTGAAGGAACGCATGTCAACAACCTCAGAAACTTATTTCCTATTTTAAACACATAAATGACAGTAAAAATACGCAAACCTCACCGAACAGCTTTCATAAATGCACCTGTCCCCACCCCCCGGAGGGATTGTTCCCCCCTGAATCCCTGGTGCTTGTTTGACACAGCATCCCACGTCGGCGAAAGCCCGTGATTCCAGCGAGGGGCAGGTGAGATCTAAGAGCTGTGATGCTGACTGAAGTGCAGCCACCCTTTGATCTGACAGCAGCAAAGCACTCAGGAATCCACTGAGGTAATGAGGGGAAAAAAAAAAAAACAAACCAAAAAACAATGGCAAGGGTCAGGGGGGCCGCTTTGGGTTTGTTTTTTTTTTTCTTCTGTCCCTTCTATCATTGATTTAAAAAAAAAAAAAAACAAACCCAAAGCGGCCCCACTGACACTTGCCATTGTTTTTTGGTTTGTTTTTTTTTTTCTTCTGTCCCTTCTATCATTGATTTAAAAAAAAAAAAAAAAAAAAAAAAGGAATAATCATCTTTAATCATCTTTCGGGCTGATTTCCTCAGCCTCACGCATAAGAAGCTGCAAATGACAGAAGGCACAAGCTCCACAGGACGGACTTACAAAGTAAACTGCAAGGAACAAGAGGCTCTTTAGTACCTCTCTGAAGATGCCGCTTCTTTTACCCAGGCAAATTAATATTCTTTTTCGTTCAACATAATACCCCCAGCCTCTGGAGAAGCATTTCTCCTCCTGCCAAAATACGTTAGCACACACCCACACCTATTCGCACACTGCATATAAAAAGAAGATAGAGCGTCTGAACCTGTTATTGTGCTCTGTGTGTGTACGTGTGAGTGTGTGCGTGACTGCAGCTATAGATATTTTAACAACAGGGATGCATTACGTTCTCCATGAGGAGCTGGGAAGGCTGTTTCATGGAAAGCATGAAACTCTGGACCCAGTGAAATTGGCAAAAAGCTTTGATGTCTATTTTAGGAATATTAAAATTAATTCATATATCTGTAATAGACATGGGCATGTTTAGTTTGGAGAAGAGGAGGCTGAGGGGAGACCTCATTGCCCTCTACAACTCCCTGAAAGGAGGTTGCAGAGAGGTGGGGGTTGGCCTCTTCTCCCAGGGGAATAATGACTGGACCAGAGGAAATGGTCTAAAGTTGGGGCAGTGGAAGGATAGATTAGATATTAGGAAGAATTACTTTACTGATAGAGTGGTCAGGCACTGGAACAGCCTGCCCAGGGAGGTGGTGGAGTCACCATCCCTGGAGGGATTTAAGAAACTTGTAGATATGGCTCTTCAGGGCATGCTCTAGTGCCTGAGATTATTGGGGTGTGGTGGGGTGTTGTATGTGGTGCTGTTAGTATGGGGCTTGGTTGGTGGGTGTTGTGGGGTGTGGTATTTGTTGTGGGTGTGGTGGGGCTTTTTGTGGTTTTTCTTTTTTTTTTTTTTTTTCTGTGTGGTTGGACTCGATCTCAGAGGTCCCTTCCAACCACTGAGATTCTGTGATTAAGAAAACAATAGCCACAAAATCTGCTGTAGAACTCATTTCACCCAGTGCTACTAATTAGCTGTTTTGTTTTGTTTTGTTTGTTTGTTTTTTCTCTGTGGTTGAACTCAATCTCAGAGGTCCCTTCCAACCACTGAGATTCTGTGATTAAGAAAACAATAGCCACAAAAGCTGCTGTAGGACTCATTTCACCCAGTGCTACTAATTAGCAAATACTCCGTTTGTGCAGCCAAGTAGGTGTTAGAAAGACAAAAAGAAAAGAAATTTTTTTACATTATGATGGATGCATCCACAGCAATAGCCAGGAGACACCTTGCTGACCACTGGCCTGATCTCCACGTGCGCCTCCAAACTTCCCACCCCGTCACCCACCGAACACGAAAGCCGCTCAATTTCTACATGGGACACAGCAAGACCCCATACTCTCAAAGCTTCCTGCTTGCTCCACGTTTGTATCCAAAGAGCTGTTTTTCAGCAAGAATATTCAAATAAGACGAAAACATTTCAGAACATGAAAAACACCTTAAATTGGCTCCAAGACGGAATGTACATCTCGATTTTTTTTGAAGTGTCACTTTCTCCCACTTTTTCTGGGCATATGCCAATTTGGATGTAAGGGGGGGATAAGAAGCTACCTGCTGTACCCAGAATGTTGGAGGCTTCGAAGCCAGAAGGGGACAGGGGTGAACTTGCCCCAGTGTGTCCCAGCCTGGCCCGGGGCTGTGCCGGGGGCAGGGAAAAGAGGGATAACTCTGGAGCCACTGCCAGGTTTCTCATGCCTGCTGCCGAGGCATCGCACAGGCTACGTGCGAGGAGGTGCCAGACTGAATGAGAGGAGCCTCCAGGGAAGGAACAGGATGAATTGCGCTGCCAGGCGCCAGCAAAGCAGCTTTGATCACAAAAAAGGGGGAGAACTTGGCACGTCGTTAGTCTCAACCCACTTTTCACAAGGGGGTTTGTGGCTGGAGGTCTGAGCACGTGCATGGGGTGCAGGTAGAAATACAGCATGCCCTCTGCTTTCAATGATTTACTCTTGAAGTTTGGTAGAAAACCAGCCCTGGTGCTGGGTCCTGAGAGGCACAGCTGGGGATAGCGCCCGGTGATGCCGAGCAAGGGAGGCAGCATCACAGAGAGGGGGATGGAAGTGGGAGGCATCATGCAGGAAAGACAGGGACCCGCCGATGGCTGAGAAATATACATTTCTCAATCCATTAGTTTCTTATAAAAATTCTCATATTTGTACAAAAAAAATAGAGTATGAAGCCATCATTCGATGTAAATATAGCAACCATGGGGTTAGAAAATGCTGTCTCTCCAAACCTATGTTTTCCATTACCTGAAATCCAACCTTATCAATAACAAGAAATGTAACTTCAGACGTACCGTACGTTCACTTGTGTGAAAGAACTTATAGATTTGTGAAGCTATTTTCTTTATTACTTCCTCTATTAAGTGCCTTAGTGTGCAAAAGCCCCCATAAAAACCCGCTTCTCAACAGCTTTTCTACATAAGGCAGACATCAAAGGTAACAGCTGGCACCAGAGATGAATCGGGCTCTAAAGACTGCACTCTGCTTTCACTTCCAGGAGTTCAAACAAGAATAAATTCCAGCGAAGACAATGAATGTACATGAATCCAAACACACAGCCTGATACTACAATAAACATGTTCTCTGTCTGAGTTTTCGCTTTCCAGACACCAGTTGGTTAAACTTTAATGAAGTTAAATTCATTATATTAATATAATCAAGGCATTGAAAACAAAATTTAAAAAATGGACATTGGTTATTCTAATTACCTAATTTGTAGTGAATGTTCAATCTGGCACATATATATCTAAAAATGAAGTCAATATTAAGCAAAATTTGTGGGACCAAAAAGCTAAGAAAGAAAAGGAGCTTTGAAAAAGATGGGATTCTAGGAGTGCAGAGATCATCAAAGGATTCAAGAAGAAAGCATTTTAGCTTCATTGAACAAGTCAACCCATTTTGGAGGTGGTTTTCTTTAGACTACAAGCAGCAATTTCTCACGAGAGTAGGAGGAATGACAAACAAGAAATAGATTTCTTCAAACCAAGTATTTTGAGGCTCATATTAGTGGTGGAGGGATGGACCACAGGTGGTGAGTCAGGATCCCAAACACACTGTGATGATGAGGTGGGAGGACTGGACTCACAGGAAAGAGCTTGTGACAGGAGTTCAGTAACCTTCCATGCAATCACACCAGAAAGCAGCTTATCCCAGGTTTTTGACTCTTCAGCTATAGACTGAATATCTTATAAGAAGACAGATCCACTTGCTTATGTATGGGAGACTTCCAAGCCATCAAGGCTGAAAAATCTGCTTCCCCTCAAGTGATTTTGGCACTTTTGCTCCCAGAAACGTAAGATTGCCAAAAAGAAAAAGACAACATGGAAAGAATGAACATAACAGAAATCTGGGCTGGGTTCATCTGAAAAGCCTGTCTAAAGGGATGCTTGTTTCTTATTTCTGCAGCTGAGATAATCACCTTCCATAAACAGCTCGTTTCCAAAGCATAGTTCCTTGTTACTCTTAGTATGTGGGAGAGATTGTAAGAGCCTCTAAAGTATCAACAGAAGAAATATTATTGCTAATGTGAGTCCTATTTGAAACACTAGATGTTCTGCTGAGCTGCACTGGGTCAAGAGAGATGTGCATTATTTGGTTTACTTCTCGACTGGATGGGTACCCAAAACTGAATGTATAAAATGGTGCAGCAGAAGAGGCAAAATCTCCATCCCCAAGGCTCAGTGCTTAGTGCCCAAATTCCAGTGTTAGGCACTCCCGAATTGCTGGTTTATATGAAATGCTTCTCTCTCTCCTCATCAATTAGTAACTGTCTTGTTCTCCAATGCATGAGAACTTATTATATCCATTTATTTTGGTGTCCTGTCTGAACAGCTGAAACAGAACTCAATATCCTCTGCTCAGTATTGTCTATATCCATTATCCTGATAGCAGTTCTCTCTGAAACTTGCTCCTCTTTCTCATCTTAGGATTTATTTCTCTTTCTCCTTGATAATTTCTGAGATAGTGCAAACAGAACTGAACATTCTATTAAGTATTTTTAATAACTTCTTGTGAATACTTACATTTGTGAAATGAAAACTCACTTTCTGATGAAGTTCCCAGCTAGGACAACCTCGAACTGAGATTATTTGTGCCATGAGAAAACTTTACTATTCTATGTCCACAGAAGGTTTCACATATTTCATAGGTAAATCCACTTAATCACAAAAATGTTTACTTTTTGCCTTTATCATTCAGTTCTCTCGCTCTTTTCTCCCCAAAGCCACTTTAGTCCTTTTTTGCATAAAATTCCCCCTCCATCACAGTTGAAAATGAGACTATTCAGGGAGAGTAACATAACTCAGACATCAGATCTTTCACTTCTGGGTCTTCCCTGGTCAGAGAGATGAATTTCTCTCTCTTCTTTGAATTCACACAAATCCGTTAGTATTTCTAGTTAAATACAAAGCAATCTGTTTTTGTTTGTTTGTTTTTCTCACACTCTAGCGTTTCCTTACCTATTCCTTCTCCAACTAAGATAATCAAGAAAAGATTGAGACTTCACTGTATTTTTAATTACAGATTGCACTGAAGGTCTCTCTGTGTGGTAAAACCAACAAACCTAAAAGGGTAATTTCTTTAAATAAAATAAAAAAAAACATTATTCCTGCAGCTGGAGCACTGGTACATCTTGTGCTCTAGTTGCATCAGTAAATTTATTGCTGTGATAATACCAGAAATGACTGATGACATATTTGGCTGATGTTAAGCACAACCAAGGGACTTTGTGCAAGAATCCAGACAATGACCAAACTGTGAGCAAACTTATTCTGCAGATGTGGTCTGACCATTCTTGACTGTTCTTCTCATATTACCTAAAATCAGGCTTAAAAATTTAAACAAATGACGTCTGTTTCTTCTTCACAAATTAGAGAACATTTTAATCCTTTTTGCAGAATTCAACAGCTTGACTTTTGTACTGATTGAAAAGGATAATATATTTAATGCTATTACTTCATCATCTCACCCCTCAACCCAGTTAAGGATAACCTCCTGCCTCTGCTCATGCCACCACCTGGGAAAGCCTTCAGGGTCCCAGCCCGGGCAGCCTAACAGAGATGTTCACCTATTCTAAGGTTAAACCCAATTTCAGGGTGGCAACCACAAGCTTTTATTTTGTCTTCATCACTGAAGACACAAGCTGAGTTTAGGGACTTCTTGGTTGGAAGCACAGTGTTCTGCCAGGCACCTGGGACAGGTGGGCAGGAGATCTCACTGTCCACTCTTTGTACCTTTTCTGCAAAAACAGGCAAAAAGACTAAGGAAGAAGAAGAGTAATGGGGCAGAAAAGTCCGGGGCACGGCTGCAACATACAGGGGGATGCGATGCTAAGAAAAAAACATTCAGATTGGGAAAACATTTTCATTGGAATGAATTGGATATTAGGAAAAATGTTTAAACTGGAAGGGTTATTAAGCTTTGGAATGGTCTGTCCAGGGAATTGGTTGAGGCACCATCCCTGGAGGTATTTAAAAGATGGGTTGACATAGTGCTTAGAGACCCAGTTTAGTGCTGTTTTTTTTTTTTATCAGAGTTAGGTTGGTGGTTGGACTAGATGATCTTAAAGGTCCCTTCCAACCTAGACAATTCTGTGATTCTAAGACCCCATATTTCTTTGACTGGCATCTGCTCTGCTCACTGTAGCACAGTCGCAGAGATTTTACTTCTTTGTATTTATTTATTTCTTTGATTGGCATCAAAGAAATTGGCTGCAAAACAAATTTTCACAGGATTGCATCACAGAAACATGGGACACCAGCACTGCTTTGTTAACCAGAAAAAAAAAAAAAAAAAGGAACAAATTTGGAAATACCTGAATTCTTGCAAGCTGCTTGAACTGGAAGGGATAACGCTATCCTTGGGTAATCAGTCAAAACTCAGACTGGGGAAGCCTACGAGCCTTCGCACCGAAGCAAAGAGGGGTTTAGCCAAGAAAAACATGTCTTGAAGTATGGGAAGTGGTTGTTACCATTTCTTTACCTATGCAGGTGCGCCCATCAGCGTGGAGCCTGTATCCCGCCCGGCACTGGCAGTGGAAGGAGCCGTGTGTGTTGACACAGCCTTGCTGGCAGCCACCGTTCACCACCGCGCACTCGTCCACGTCTGCAGAAAGAAAGCAGAGGACCAGAATCACAAGACAGCCTCAGCAAAGACACATCCTGGTTCTCCTGGACGGCACGTAGCTCATACATAATGCAACCATTACACTCCGACTGGGGTTGTGTTTGCTTCGCTTCTGCGCTGTAAACAGAGCAAAGAAAATTGAAATTTTATGGTGTTTTTCAAAGTTCCCGCAGGCGCTGCCTCTGTAGTCTCCACTTCTGAAGCCCTTGTTGATTAGAGTGATCTGCAATGTGGCTGTTTCCTCAGGACCAAGAGAAAAATACAGGGAAAGAATGAGGGTAAGATAACACGTCTGAGCTTGTAGGTACCACTGGTCAAACATTTGGAGCTTTTGTTAAAATTTCCTATATGAAGATTTCCTTTTGCATCAGGCCTTTAAATCCTACTAGCAACTGCTCTTGAGGGTCCAACTACATACAACTGACATAAATGGAAAAAAGCCACACACGGGCAGAGCCCACGCTCTCAATCAACAGCCCATTTTCAACCACTAAATACGTAGAGGGCTTAGAAATTACATTTATGAAGAATGATGATTTTGTGCCACATTTTCTGTGACTTCTATCCCTTGGGCTTCCTTGTGCTCACCTAAACTTTCTCATATGACCTCTCAGAAAAATGATGTGATTTTCTGATGACACCTTTTCCAAACCTAAGCAAGTATCTTTCCATATTTCACATTTTAGGGGATTACATTCAGTCAAATGAAGTGGGAAATTAGCACTAACCCAGCTTGAGAACGTGGCTGTAACATTTCAGCTGAAAATGATGGACAACAAAGATCAAGACCAGTTTAAGTAAACAGGTGAAGGTTTAAAACAGAGCCACAAAACTGAATTTCCAGGAGTACCACATAAGCAGTTTTTGCACCTTTTCAGCAACACTGGGCTACTGTACGTAGCATTAGATTGGCATGTTGACACCAATACATTAAAAATCAACACCCTGATATAATTTCACCTGGTAGATGTTTGCCTAGAATTTGTCTGTCCTTTCCTTTACAGCCCTCAGGGATTCCAACTCCACCTCTCTCCATCTCACCCAGGGGTGATACCGGTACCAAATTATCCTGACTGCCAAAGCCATACTCCTCTTGCCAAAGCCAAACCTCCCTCCTGCCATGGGCATCTATAAAGACCCCCCCTTTCAACATTAGAGACTCCCATTGACTTAACTGCTCTTTAGATCACCTTCTCAAATCATCTAAGGGATTTGCACACCCAAGCGGGTGTGGATGAGGAAACTGGGATTGAAAGAAATAAAAGAGTGGCTGCAACAAGGGCTTTTTTCTTTACCCCCATATTGCACTTCAGGAACACGGGGTCTGGCTTGCATATTTTTCTGTTGATATATCTGCTTTGCATTTAGCTTTCATGGTTTACATTTTTTTTTTAATGCTTTTATGTTTATTCTGCTTTAGAAAGCCTAAATGAAAGTAAATGAAAAAGGAAGTTTTAAAGATGACTTGGAAATGCACAACATCCTGGTACTAAGGAAATGTATTTATACAGTTAAATTTTAATACTTCACATGTGAATTTCACTCACCTAAAATTAAGTCCTGGTGTTGACTAGTGTTTAAATTCAGACCATTTGCTAATGTGCTCCACTTTTTAATCCTTCTGCTATATTTGCTGTTTTATTAGACTGTATACTATGTACATTTCCTACTGCCTGGAGACATCTGGAATACTCTTTTTTTAAAAAAAAAAAAAAACAGAAGTTTTGCTTTTATAATGTAAACAGTAAACATAAAATGTTATTCATCTTGTTGAATTCTATACTGTTAAGAAATAGCCTGCTGAAAAATGCCAGGACAAAATCAAAACCAGGAAACTATTTGTCTTGATATCACAGAAATAAAATAAGCAAAAGGGCTCAGAAAAACATAACAAGGAAGCAGCTGAACTATATAGTACACCACCTTCTAGTATTTATACCTCAATAAACTCAAATACCAGGAGCTTCAGTATATTAATTTTATAGGCTATGATCAGCTGCAGAATTTCTCTAATATACCAAATACATTTTTAAGTTAGGCTATCAGCCTGACGAAGGAGAAAAAATAGTCCAGCTAATAAAAATGAGCGCTTGGGAGTTAGCTCTGTTTGTGAGTCTTGATTTGAACATTTAAAGAAGTGACCTGGATTAGGGGGGACATCTCTGCACCCAGCAGCTCCGGCACCCACTGCAGCTCTTCTCGCAATGGCATTTCCCTCGTGGTGGCACATCCCAAAAGCCAATATAATGAAATGAAAAATTAAACATGGGAGGGGAAACAGAGGCAAGATCAACCAGTCTGCAACGCAGCCTCACCACCACCACCACCTTCCCAGGAGGCCACCCGAGCAGCAAGTTTGATGACAGAGGATTCCTTCTAGTCTCAAGGCTTTCTTTGCAAGATCAATACTTCAAGGATTATATGGTGAAGGATTCCTTCACGTACTACAGATATAATCAAGAAAAATGCAACGCGCAGTCGCCTTGCAATGTCTCCTACATCTCAAGGCCAGGAAACAGCTTTGCCCCCAGTTAGAGAAGAAAAATGCCTTAATTATTTTGTCTGGGAAGCAGTCTGCGAAGTAGACACTAATCTAAATGCTTGAAATGCACTTGAAAGTTTTAAAAGTCTTAACCTATTTGGACTTTTATATTCAAATTACTAGTAAAGGACACATATACCAGGAAAACAACAGCTTAAGCTGTTATAGGTACAAAAGCAGACATTTTTTTTCTCCATGGGAATAACTATAGAAATATAACATTATTCAAGAATCATGAAGTTATAAATATATGAAAAATATTCTAGAAATATAAAGTTATTATATTGTAATTCTAGAATATTATGGGATTATGGAAGATGGTATCTGTTTAACAATACACTAATTAAATTTGGATTAGTTTCTACTACAGATCAAGCTCAAACAGCTACGTGTTTAACTTTCTATAGTTACAATTTAGGATGCTTATCTGAATAACCCGAATTTCAAGCCATTTATGACTTACTTATCGCAAGTAAGAGTGCGATGAAAGCAACTGCATTCCCACAAAACAGAGGGAGAGCAATCCACTGGGACGAGAGGCAAGAAGCGAAAGGAGAAGGGTGTGCTGGCCCAAGGCAACAGTGCAGAGGGGATTATGCTGCAATAGAGTTGGGATGTGAACATCTTCCTTTTCACCTATGGAAGATTTTAGAGGTGTATTTCAATGGGATTCCCCACTGAAGGCATCTCTGCTTTCCATGTTGTTCACACATAGCACATGCCCCACCACGTACCCCAGAACATACAGGGGATTGTGTCCCCATGTACCCACTTTTCATCAGGAACACCTTGGCAGGAACCACCTTATGCTCAGTCATACAAGCCAAAAGTCAATCCAAGATGCGAAGTATTTTAGCCACCATGACACCCACCTTTTTTAGCTCTTCATGCTTCTTAGGTCTGTGCATTTGGACTGAGCTCTGCGCATCGTGACTGCACACTGACCTTTCCTCCATCCCGAAAGGATGCACATCTCAAGTCCCGAGGACGGGAACAGCATCCCAACGGCAGTGGGATGTTCAAACGCACATCCCACTGCCAGTACCATGCCCTTTCCAAGGGCAGATTCTACTGATGAAGTTTGATTTTGAAGTTCTCTCTACCCCTGAACCGGGTCCCTGCTAATCTTCAACAAAGTTTGCCCCCACATTAGCAACAGCACTATTTCCTGGCCTAAAATCTGTTTCAACAGAGCTGTGTGACTGCTTGTTTGGAATTCAGGATCATCACATCAATGGCTTCTCTCATATCATAACTTAAAGCGTTTAGGAACAGCTATGATCAATCTGTTCCTTAAAAATAAACTGACAGCAGTGTTAAACACAGATAATTAGTGAACCTGCAATCACGTTTTTATAAAGGAAAAAAAAAAGCAGCAAGATGTTGCCAGATCAATTCCCTACTAACAAACATCTTAGCTTTTTAAACCATTAAGAAATGTAAACAACATGCAAAACTAAACCCTAAAAGAAGACAAAACCATCAGTTCTGATGGCAGCAGGACCAAGCGTTTGCAGTGTCCTCTCCATTTTGATAATCCTTCCCCACTTTTCTGGCTATATTGTGCAAGACAGAGCTGTGAGTGGGTGAGCTGTTTTTTTCAGCTCCCAGTTTTCAAGTTCTGTGCTTGCAACACCCCAGCATCACTTGCAGGTCAGGAGCAGGCTGCAGCCACAGCTCCCACGTCTCCAGAGAGGAGCTGGTGCTCCCAAACGCACTTGGGATTATACCACAAACCAGGAACATCCTGAAACCTGCATAAAACAAACACCCGAAGGGTCATGAGCCTCCAAAGGGTCTCAGAAATGTTTGTCCCCTGTCTTAACCACCAGACAGGCACTTCATGCAATCCAAAGGCCTCTTCAGTTTTAAATTCTTTTTCTCCAGGAACTTGTCTAGCAATTTCTGCAGAGATTAATCTCATGATTAGTTCATCACCTGCTCTCCTATAGGTCTGCAACGATGCATAGAATCATAGAATCATCTAGGTTGCAAGGGCAACTTTAAGACCATTGAGTCCAACCCTAACCTAACACTGCCAAAACCACCACTAAACCATGTCCCTCAGCACCACCTCTACCCTCTGGAGGCACAAGCATGTATTTGGGCTCTGGTGCAGGACAACCGCCATTTCAGATCTCAGAGTGCCTCCAGAAATACTTAAAGGCAGGTCTGCTTTCCTTTTTAACTCAATTTATGCTTTAAAACACTGCATTCCTCACAAGGTCATTATCTGTAACTTGTTATTGCTTTTCACATCCCTTCCTTCTGTGCACTGTGTGCAGCTGCTCTGAAAGTACAAGATGAAATGGTCTTCTAATATTAGGTTTATTATGCACTTTTCCTCCTTGCACATTTTGAGTAAAATGAAAGGTATAAGGCTATTTGAAATACAGCCTCTAAGGCTGTATTTTAAGTTCTCTCCTTTGGGCTAGCC